GCCCGATTATGATTATGATAGTGAGCAAGAACAAAATAATGACGTTGCCATGACGTTACCTAGGCGGTCAATCAGACATTCCTCAAATATGATTTCGGATACCGGAATAGAGACGCGCAACATTCCACGGACGAGAAGTTTCGTAAGGAATTCGAAGAACATTTCTGCTGACAAAAAGTTGAATGCGGATAAAATCGATGAATCGACAGTATTGGATGAAGCGATGGCTGCTGATGACCAAGACGCAACTCCGGCGGCGCAAACGAATTCACAAAAGTTGTCGAAAGATCAAACGGGTAATAGGACAATTCGGCGGACTTCGGCGAGATTGTCGATCGCGCAGGTTTCGAACGAAACTCACTTTAAGGATATTTCGCGTAGACAATCGAGCTTGACTAGGTCTCAGAGTCAACGCAACACTCCCCTTAGATCGTTGAATATTAACAATAAGACTAACACAAACAACAGAATGATAGACGATTTCTTCAAAACGAAGCAGCCTTCGATTGGCAAGAATCAGGCCAAATCGTACGACCAGTCCCTTGTACCGTCGGAGATTTTCAAGGGCGCCGAGAAGATGCGGAAGATTCAAGATCAGGTGGAGGCAATGAAGAGCCACGGAAGAGCCGCGATAAAAATATATCCCGACAAGACCAGTGAGAAGCGGTCGAACGCGAAGGTCGCTGGTATCGTTTCGAAGAAGATTGTGAAGAAGAAGAAACTGTCCGTCGAACCAGCGAAGAAGGTGGATAAAGCGTATCTAGTGAACGGGAAGGTATACAAAGCGCCAAGGCTCCCACGTCCGAAGCAGTGGGTCACCGATCGTTTCTACAAGTTCATGTGGAAACGGATGGAGCCCAAGTACAAATTGTCCGCGAGAATACGATCCGAGAAATTCGTCGAGGAGCTAAACAAGGTTGTCACTTTTATCTCGCGGTGTGCAAAATACGACAACTACAAGGCCGAGCTGGAGGCCCTGATGAAGGAAATGGCTCGATTGAGGATCATCAACACTCCTAATGATTTCTATAATTTCTGTCGCGACTTCATGCCTTACGAATTTCGCGTTAAAGTAATCCCCATTTTATTGCCCGGCAATCGGAAGACCATCCCCTACGATCCGGAAAAGTTGCATACGCCTTTACTCGATGAATAGGATTAAAGTTACATGAGTAAGGCTAAAATCGCACGAATAAGGTGGTATGAACAAGATTGTTCTATTTGTGTAATTGTAATACTATTGTACGTTCTAAACAGCCTAAGGGTTTCCTAAACTTATGTGAACTTATTTTCTTAGAATGATAAACATCCGCGACGATTCACCTAGCTTTTTGGTAGATATGAAAAAGCGGAGGGAGTGTAAATTGATTATTTATACCATTTTATGATGCGTTGATACGAGAATACGCAACAAGTTTGTACCCGGCTTAAGTTTGCAAAATTATGTGAAGTAATAAAGTGTAATTTAATATTCGAAAATTTTTCACGATCCACCAAAAATCGTCTCGCGATTCCACTTTGAGAATCTCTGGCCTAAGGTTTATCGTTATGAAAGTCATTCAAGAGAATATTTACCGTTCAAATCTAATTGTTATGCTAGTCTAATGTACGTACACATACACGTAGTCTAAATAATAATTAAATAATCATTATACGTGAGCAGATAGCGATAGTAAATATATGTACAGTGTTAATAGAGACAGAGTAACATTTGGGCAACGTTGGGCAATGGTTGGTCAACCAATTTATGCTGCTCGAGAGATCAGAATGATATTATATTTGGTAATTGTCATCGGAATGATACGTATTTTTGGTAATTGTACACACGGCTACAAATCAGATATTATTGTAAGAGCCAATTCAGTTTTCATTGTACTATCATAAGTCGCTTTTCTAATATTTGTATTCTTTCTAATAAATAAATAAATATAAATAAAAATTTCTTAAATACCCATAGCTGTAATTAAGTAATATCATGTTCTTATTATATTCCGAGTAAAATATTTCTCACATGTAAAACGTGTCTCACTCTCTCGCTTAAGTGCGCTCGCGGATATGCGTCTCATTTTTCTAATGGGCTTTAATCGGTGATAAGCACCTCGTGTAAACAAACAGTCGGGAATTTGTACGCAGCGGCCAATATTTACGTTCTCGCTCATTGTCTGCCCATCGGTGGTGTCCCACTTGGCGCGCGTCCACTATGCGTGCGACGCACGAATCGTAGTTTTTCCCACGGTACTGATACTTCCGTACATACGATCGCTTTTTTATAATATGCCAAGAATATTGTGATGTGGACATACAACATTGATAGAACATTCCTATAATATTAGAAAATATTACACAACATTCTTAGAATATTATAGGAATATTATTTTAATATTGAATAATATTCATATAATATTCTAGGGATATTACGCGCTTATAGGGTATATTTAGATCTACCGTTATCTTCATTGATATTAATAACCTTCTAATCGTTGGTTCTGTATGATAATCTTTTTGCGTGAACAAACAGTACTCCTTATTTTTCTGCCGTGACGTTTGACAGAAATATTATTTACGCCGTTTGACGCAAACACGGACAGGGATAACATTACATTGAACGAATTGCGAATATCATTTGTTAAACGCCAAATTTGAGACACGATATTTTATCTCCGTATTGGACGTCACGATTGACGTAATTTATTGATATTTTCGTCAGTCACTGTCGTTTTGTTTTATGTGTACATATCGGCGTAATGGTCATAACAAGCAATATAATTAGGTTATTACCGCTTCCTAACTTATAAATATCGCTTTCTGAACGCTAAAGACCTCGATAAAATGGCTGATTTATAATTTTAAGACTTGTAATGTTCTTTGCTTTAAATCTTTGTCTAAAAGGTTTTTCTATCGTTTTTTTTTACCTCTTTTTATTATACAGCGGCTATTGTCGTCTATTATAAACAGAACGACGTTTTAGTTTAAATCTCCGAACACAAGACAGTTATTGTGCGTTATTTAGGACAAAAGTCTGTGTCTGTGAAGTTAGTACGACATTTTAATGATAAAAAAAAGCAACCGTAGTTCTAGCAGCACCTTTTATAGTTCTACAATTTCTGGTAAAAATAAAAGTTTCGCATTTTTAATACTAAAAAACCGAAAATAAGCGTCATACTAACTACTTACAGCACGATACAGTCTCCTTTAAAGTATAAGAAGCCAGTGCGTAATACACGTTTCGATGAGAATTTCCGTTAGTTCATAATTCCATAATTATGAAGCATTTCAGGACATAATTCCAATAATTAACAATTTAGTACTATTTTAAATATACTTCACTATATCAAATATATCACAAATGATCATTTTACAGATGTATCCTTTCATTTGAAAGTATAACACAAGAAATCTCAGCATACGTTTTCTCACTTCTGACATCATTAAACAAGGACAAATTCGTAGCGAGTAGTCAGGAGCCTTAAGACATAAAAAAACATCGTCTTGAATTAATAAATCACCCATTCTGCTAAGGCCTTAACGTAAAGCCACGTTGTATATCGCTGCTTCCCATATAACAACACCGAAGTTTGCAGCAATATTGCGTCAGACGATTGTTTTGTAATTCTCAACTGTGATATCAAACGATTGTTAATAGATTCTTTTGTACTCCATGTTGTTTCAAATGTTACCTTCAAGGAAGTGCGTACGCGCGCGCGCGTTCAATGTGTTACGTCGTGACATTAGAACTTGGTAAATATTTACGAGAAAACGAGCGTGTGTCGTGTGTTTACGTATCGGCTCTCTCACGCAATTCCGTGACGACGGGTGTGAGAAGAGGACCGTCGCGAGAATAGCGTTTCAAAGCCGCGCGACTCTGTGTGACGATCAGCTAATAACCAAGATTTATCGTGACCTGTTGACTTCTGAGAGCGCGCGCAGTGTAAGGGCCTTGCCAGAATAGCTGACTTATTTCAGTTCAAGGCAATGTTTTATGCCTTAAGTTTTTGTTTTCAAGTAAAGCACGAGTCTGTCTTGAGTTTTAAACTAAAAACCTGTTCTACTTGTGATCAATGACAAAAACCGTTGGGAAGTTTGTCCCCGGCTGCGGAATTTTAACATTCGTCGCGAAATATTGATCGGGAGTTCAGTGAGAGCCGAAAACTGCTCTCGCGCAACGCAACGTGATCTTGCGTGTTAATTAATTGCGCATAGTCCTCCGAAGGACAACCGGCCGGCCGGTAGGAAGTCGGCCCTCCGTTTGAAGTCTAATCTCTAATGGAAGGGCCGCCTCAATTAGGCCGGGCTTATTTTCACCGAGCTGCGATGTTTGAGCGCGCATTTGTAGCCACGCGACTGCGCCACGCGCCGCTCGTTACCACCCGGTCGCCGACGGAACCGGCCGGCAATTGTTTCCCCTCGCTTGCGGCGCAAAAATGATTGGGAGTTTGCGCGCACTACGGAAGGCGAACAGCAATAATTGCGTAGAATGAATCACGAAGCGGATTCGCGCAGATCACCAGGCGCCCCGCGCGCTTCTCGTCCCGACGGCTGCGGCTTGATATGATACGGATCGTTTGCATTTGACGTATTAGGAGGAGGACGGGGGAGGACAGGGGTGGACAGACGTATATCGTACTTTTCGTGAAAAAACCGAGGAGTTATTTCTGCGATTTTATTGTGGGGAAATGCGGGGTAAGGCGGGGACATTGAGAGATAAATATTTAATAAAAACGAAACAGTCTGAATTGAGATATTTATTAAGACTTTTCTATAATCAACATTGATTAATTTTTAACGTTATATGTTCATCAAAAGACTAATTTATTATAAAATATAACATATTATGTGCGACTTACTTACTACATTTAGTATCGTACTACAAATACAAGTTACCTGACACAGTGTCAAACAATTAATAAAATTGCATCACATTTATTGATTTTCGTAAATTTATTCGAGTTTGCAACATGTGTAGCCTCTACTATTATTCGTTGCGAATAAGCACGTTGACTCGCCTCTCTCCCTCTTATACGTGCAAGTTCAAATCTGTAGTTGCGTAGTTATTTCTATATATCGTTTTTCACCGCGATCTTTATCTTGCCCCGTATTCCCCTGCCTCAACCATGTTGATGCACCATCGTCGACTATCGTTTCGCGATGATATTTTCTCTCGGTGAACTTCAGCCGTTCAAACATCATTGATTCATGTTTGTTAATTGAACTTTAAACCCGGTAATTTAAAAATACCGCACTATCTAGATCCGTGTCGTCTTATCGCCATAAGTAACGCCGTAAATAGAAAATGACAGGCAACGTCTGAAAACAAAAATATAGTTTGGGACATGTGAGATGTGTTAAATTTAATACATTTTACTATGTGAGAAGAGAAATTATCGAGGGATTCAAGAATCAAAATTTTACGTTGAAGCTTCCTAACCAGCGCTGATCGGTTTTCGGATTATCTTCGTCTATTTTCCGTTTTTTTTTTAATGTCGTAAACTTTCAGACAGAGTCTGACAGAGCAGAATTTCAATCTCGCGACAATACGTGGGAGCAGAAGGAGAGAATCGGGGAGATTTGCCGGCGTAGTCGGAGCCGCATTGATGAACCGGAGTGCACTTATGAATTCAATTCCGGGGAGCGACGGTCTTTCCACGCTCGGCGACGGTGTGCTCGAATGTTATGACAATTATGAGTTTTTCGTGGGGACACCCGGGGGTGGCACGTGGCCCAGCGCGCATAGTGCGTCGGGCGAGCGGCGTGGCGCGTGCCGCCGCGTGAGAACGGTTCCGCTCACACGCGTCACACGCACACGATGCGCACATGTGTGCTGCGAGAAAGAGGGGGAAAAAAAGAAGCGAGATGAAAATATCTCTTCGGGATTTACTTGCCCTTCGACCTCCGACGGATCACGGGAATCGATCGAATTTCGCGGGAATAATGGAGGAGAATAATTCGTTGAAACACGATTTGTTGATTAATCGAGCGCGCTGGCGTTGCGAGGCGACCTTATGTTACGCGTGTGAATAATGCGAGACGGAAAATTTGAATCTGCAGATTTAATCTCATATTAAATGTTCATTGTGTACAGTCATTCGCTAATTGCGAAATGAAATCCTATCGTAGTTCGCCTATATTTATCTCGCGCATCAACGACAATATCGATTGTATTCTCCAATGGCGAAAAATTTTGCAATGATTGTGCTAACGTGATTCGCCGTAACGGTTCTGTCTGAATAAAATTTCAAAACGATACTCGCCAAAAATTAGACAAGTCCAATTCGGGATATTTTTTAGGATATCACTTTTTGAGGTATTGTTTTATTTTAATATTTAAAAACAAAATTACAACTTGTAATATTTTTCACAATGCAATGCAGTAATAATATTTCGTAATATTTGCAGCGTTTGCGAAGAAAATATTTAAATTTAAATTATTAAATTATTTAAATTTACATCAATTCAAATAAAAAAAAAGAAATTTATGCGAACAACACATAAATATTTAAATAAATTTTGTACTTATTTGTTTTTTATTTATTCATGTTTTAAAACCGCTTGTTTCTCATTTAAAGCTGACATATTGAATATGAATACTGACATATTTCATATTGCAATATTTCTAAATTATAACTTGAGAATAATTGTGAGCATATATATGTATCAATTTAATTCCTTAGAGAACACGCACAACTATATTTCTAAACATTTGTCAACATAACAGCTAAAATATTTTCCCAATTATATATTGGACAATTTCTTTCCAAATTTTGTTTACAAATATATATTCCGTTAAGATAATTCACTGTATCGCTGCTGTTTTGCCGAAACATTATTTAGATTATTATTTAGAAATTAATTTCGCAAAAAGTTATGGATATTTTGCAAAAGATCAGTATCACTTTATATTTCCTTAAATATGCTCGTATAATTGCAGCATCACAAATTTTACGCAAAATTTCGCTATATAATTTCACAAATGTTTTCCTATCGGATTTAACATACTCGAATGAATGCGAGAAAATTGATAACAAATCGGCAGCGTATCGCATTCGCCAGTCGTCAGTATACGGGATACACGTGCACGCACGCGTACGCGCCTCACGCTTCACCGTCGGTTCTCTTGATCGTTTCGGCAAACACACAGAGGGAAAGTGATACGATCGGCGTCTTCCATGAGCGAAATCACTTATACATTCTCGACTATGTTTTGATACCTCCACGTTTGCATCTTGCGTTACTTTCTTCCTAAATCCTGTCCTTTCTCTTCTTCCACTTCGGACAGTATTGCGATGGTTTTCCTTATTTGCGCGCATAGGCAGATTATTTTTCATGACGGACCTTCGAGAGTCAAATCGTGGTTATTTCAGCGACGTTATTGAATTATCATGGGAGGACGTATTGTTCAGTGCGTAATGACGCGCGGAAGGTACAGTAATTAACCGCGTACGCTTATTCGAGAGAATTATTCAGTTCGTGTATCATTACATGCTGAACGATGTATCTTCGCGCGATAAATTTAACAACATCGATAAAACAACCTGATTCGAGCGCCGGGGTAACACCTCGACAGAACGACTCCGTCGAAACCGCGTAATCGGCGACTCTCGTCGGTCGGCGATCGGTTTCGCGACCGATCCCGTCGATTCTCGCTCGATGCATCATCCGCGCGCTCGCACGCATTAATTCAATTCGTCCTTTACGCGCAATCCCCACGGGCCATTGAGCGCGCGAGTGCTCTATTCGATCACGGTGCGTCTCGCGCGCGCGGCAAGCGCGTGCATAGCCTCGTTACCGAGGTCACACATTGATTAATCGGCGGGCGTCGCGAGCAGCGACGCTCTTGTCGGGAACCGTCGACTCTGGACTCGTTTGCGGTTTTCTCATTTGCGGTGTGCAATTACGGTTTCCATCCCCTGCCCCCTTCGCCTTTTTCTCGTTGACATCTCGTTCCTGATTCTCACGGGCGAAATCTCGAGTTTGCTCGCCGTTTTCTCCTCGCGGAATATCGTTCTCGACAGATTAAGCGTGTTTCGCCCGTCGAATAATTAAAGCCGCCCTCTCTCGTCGTGGAGATTATCGCCGCGAGTCGCGGTCATAATTATCGGCCTCTCTCATTAACCTCCACCTACCTGCCCAGCCAGTCATCCCACCTGCCTCACCATCTTCCTTCCTCGACGAGAAGGTTCAATCGCCCGGAGCCGCAAATTCGCTCGGAAGTTCTCCCCGAGAGAGAGAGAGAGAGAGATAGATCACTCGCGATAATATCCTCGTGCGGTCCCGCGGGGCTTGCCACCCCCTTACACACAGGGCAGAGGGGAGGGGTATGACGCGCGTTCGGGGGAATGGATCGTGACGCCGCGGAGTCCGGTCCGGCATAGAGAGAGCGCGCGCCGAGGTTATAAATAGGACGACGCACCGTTCCAGAGCGGTATTTCGTCGCGTAACGCCGTGACGTTCGCATCGATCTGGCTGGCGTGCACCGGTGAACGTAGGCGCAGGGCGGGTAACAGGCGTTCGCGCACTCGGCCGAAAATCAATCCGGCGCGTGTACAGTCGCGCGGCGTAATAGAGAAATAATCAGGTGAGGTCTCTCGGTCGAGGTCTCTCCCTCCCTCCCTCCCTCCCTCCCTCGCTATCTCTGTTCATCTCGTTTGCTGCCCCGGAGGACGAGGAGGAGGCGTCGACAAGGGCCGAACCACGAGGATAGAAACCACCCCGGTGTGCCTCTCTCCGCGATGCTGAAGAAGTTGCTGAGCAAGTCCGGCCGCAGAATCCTGCGGGTAAGCCGACGACGATTTTCCCCAGTGCGCTCTGTCGTTGTCGACGACGACGACGTCATTGTGTGACGTCCCTTGTAACGTACGCACGCACGCACGCATTTCGCTCGCCCATGGTTGGCGACCTAATTCCGTCGGGTGTCACCTGGACGTCGGCCCGACATCTCGCTCGCTCGATTGGAAAGTTATTCCAATTCGCGGATCCTGTACGGAAGAAACAATTTGGTTGAATTTATTCGAAACAGACGAGCCAAATGCTCATTTCGGTCGAAAGAAACGGAATTTCCGGCCGTGAGAACCGGGAGTTTCTCTTCCGACCGAAACGATGCGCCCGTCTCAGGTAAATTCGATCATTGGACGTGTTTCGCGCACGCTCTTGCGAATCTCTTTTTTCTTCCTTCTTTTTTATTAATTTTTTCTCACCCCTCTGTCGCATTCACGCCCCACGTGAACCCGAGTCGAAGTTTTAGTCCTACATTAAGTCTAGTTTAGTTCTAAATCGAGTCTTCGAAGCTTCTATCGTGCTCCTTTGATGCTACAAACAGCAAATTATTACCGTTTTCTCTGTTTTGCAAACTTAACGTGGAACTAAAATTTAGACTCCGGAGGCCCCAATTCCCATTTGTAGCATTTGAGGAGTGCTTATCGTCTTCCTTTGACGCTACAAGTGGGAATTTATTTCCGTTTTCTCCGCTCGGAGACTTAATGTAGAATTTAAAATATCGGCTCAGGAACTTTCGCGAGGTCGCTCCGCGCATCGTTCCTCGACTCGTGACGTTTACACGCGCTTGAACGCCTCGATTTATCGCGGATCAATGTCCTCTTGCGTGCCCGGGTCGCGACGCAAGTGTGCGACGGGATTGCGCTGACGAAACGGCGGGAACTCGCAGGTGAGAGTTCTCGTCACCTTCCGTGTCCACCGTATCGCCTCCTAGCCTCTCCTCGCGCTACCAGGACGTTATACTTCGCTCCGCAGGCGATCAAGAAGCTGTCCACCAGGAGTCGCAAGGCCAAGAGGTCGCGCAACCTCAGCTCCTGGCACACGGCCATCCCCGACCTCGAGACGACTTCGCTCTCGTGGTCCTTACCGTCCTTGGACGCCAAGAGCATCGACACGTATATGACGTACGTGGCCGAGAACTCGGAGGACTGCACGTCGAGCTGTTGTTGCTGCGACGAGTACGAGGAGAACCAGAGGAACGAGAACAAGGAGAACGAGATGATAATCTAACGTCCGTGTTCGTTTCTCACGATCGAGATCGCCGCGATCGACCCGGAGTCCGGGAGAATCACGCGCTCATGATCGAAACGACGATTTAACCCTTGACTGACGATACACACGCGCAGCCGCCCGTCCCTCTCCTTCGAACCGTAAGGACCCTCGACGGGGGATTCGGCCGCAAGAAGGAACGCAGCGGCCTGGCTGTGCGAGTGCAGAGTGAGTGCAATAAACACGAGTGTCTACCCTTGGATAGGGGTAGAGATCGGTCGACGGGGACCGTCTTACCGGTTAAGGGTTAATCACGATCCCTCCGCAATCCGTTCCACGCAAAAGTGCGTGTCCACGCGCTCCCTTATTTTTCGAGACATCGTATTTCGCGACGACAGGCTTCACGCGAACGCGAATTTCACCGCGCGCGCGCAACCGATGAACCAGGGGACCAGGTGGAAACTCGCTGACGGGGAACGATGTCTCTGTTATCCGCGATCGAAGGCACTCGTCCGGATATTCGCGCGCTTGCCACCATTCAAGATCTAAGATATTTCTCGTTTTGGAAACTTTATTTTTTTTGAAAACTAACGTGGAAAAAAATTGGTCCTAAATCAATGATAGATATATTCTCATGTATAAGCAAAAACATTATAGTTTTCTTCAAAGATTTTTAGTCTTTCATGATTTTCATAATTTGTTTCTCTTTGCAAAAATTTAGGGGGAAGCAAGTGCTCCAGTTACGCCCGTGATCTAATCCCCAGGTTCAAATTCGGTGTGTAAAACGGCAATGTTCCCTCAGCGTAGAAAAATGGTTCTTCCGACTATAATTCTTTCACTCGCGCGATTCTAGTAACTTAAATACCCAAAGCTTTTCTCTCAGTGTACTAATATTCTGCGAGATAGATATTTCCGTTCCTACAAACGAGTCTTCGTCTGATTCCTTGGATCCACGGAAATTCCGTTAGACGAGTCGAATTTTTTGTTCCGTGCGAGAGAAACCGCCGCCGATCATGCCGCCCCTCGCGATCATCGCAGTCATCGTACCGTGACCGTTCGCCTGCTCGATGACGACGACGATCGTTCGACGTCGAGAGGCGAAGAGACGATCATTTATTTCCAATTGCTCTTCCACAGGATCGTTCGTTTGTTTGCGGCGCGGCGAGTCGCTCGCGCGAGCGACTCCCCGCGCGACTCACTTCGATCTCATTTAGCCGATTAGTCTCGCGGCTTTCGGTTCTTCTTCAGATGCGATCACGACTTATTTATTTATTGCATTAGATTTTAGATGCACCGGCGATCGACGGGCACGACCGTGACTTTTCGTTTGTCGCGTCGACCGTGTGTGTACGGTCTTGTTTCCTCGCTTCGTCGCGCGAAAGGAAACAAAACGACGTTTTGCGCGCGCGCGTCATCGTCTCTTTCGAAATAGGGCATAGCAATACATGATGTAGTACAAAGAAGAGAAAAAAGAATATATATATATATATATATATACACACACACACACACACACACACATACACAAAACACATATATATATATATATCGTCTAGAGCGTTATCGACGTCCGTTCTCATGAGAGAACGCGACGTCCGAAATAATAGGACTTTTCCATTCGTCGTATGATTAGCGTGTGTTGGATATAACTCGGATCTTACCATTTCGCGAGGTTATTCGAGTTACCGACGTGTCATAAACTATCACAGACGATCAATAAGTCATTCTCGATTCGCTATACTCAATTTGTACACGTTTCACGCGGCGGGACCTCTCTTTATTGTCGGAATAATTTATATTTCTAATCGATGTTTTCGAACGCACCGGAAAAAAATTCGGGGGAAGTTAAGTTATAAAAGAGCGAGTGTAAGACGGAAAAACAAGAAAGGGGAAGACGAAAGATGACGGGAGAGAATATTGTTATAGATGAGTAAATTTATTTTTTCGATTCGAACTCAACACCGAGCGCGCACTCGCATGTGTGTTTGTTCGAGAACTGCCGAATCGTACGTATACACAGGAAAACAGTTCCTGCAGCTGAATAGGAGTGACAAAATTCGGTTGACGAAAAATGAAAGCTCGATTACGATGAATGATATATCTCTGTTGCCGCGAACATATTCTTGTGAACGTTCAGCTACACACCGAGAGAAAAGTTCCGTTAAAATTGCAGTCATTTTTAGCAGCAATTGTATTTTTCTGGTTTTAACCTAAAAAATAGTAATTGCAACATTACGTAAGATTATTATCGTCGATATAGAGAAATGTATTTATTCTACTGCTGAGAAAAACGATTTTTACTCAGTTCATTTTCTTTCTTTTGGTAATGGTTAGCTTCAATAAAGATTATTTTTTTTTTATAATAATAGTCTTCAAATATATTCATCACAAAATTTATAAAAATTCATTATTATATTCTCAAAAAAAAGAATTTATTCTCTTTTTAAAAATATTGCAAACTTTAAATAAAGAGAAGTTAAATTCGGTTCATTGGAATAATGAAATAATTGTTATTTTTGAAGTACTAAATTGATTAGAATTCAGAATATATTTTGAATGAATTTGACGTTTATGATGAACTTATACTTACAGACATATAAACTTATAAAATGCTTGAAACAAGTAATATTTACCTGAATGCAGTATGTATTTTTTGTGTGAAGTAATAGTAATAAAATAGTAGTAATTTAATAAGCTAATGCTTATTTAAAAAATGATTATCTTGACTATAATTATTTCACTTGTACGACTATAGTTACAAATATTAAAATTTTTTTCTCAGTGCATTAAAACTCGGTTAAGACAATTGAGCGACAATTGACTGAGCAGAAACTTCGCACAGAAATTTTTCTGTTCCTACGACCGAATTCTCGTTTGGTCCTCGGACAACGGAAAGTTCAGTTATGCCAACGGAATTGTTTTTGCCGTGTATACATATCGGCGAATCGAAGCGTGAAAGTGTTCGTAAAATGACGCGTAGAACACGAAGGAACTTCCTCGCCACTTATCGGCGTGAGGAGGTCCGACCTTTTAACTAGATGTTGTCGTCACTTTTGCGCTAATCGTCCTAGGTGTTCAATATTTCATGCGGTCAAGATGCACCTGTTAGAGATTAGTTAGCTGATACACACAAGTGGCCCTCGGTCTGCTGTGAAAAAACGGTTGGTCAGCTTTATCGTAGGTACACAGAAAAAAATTAGTATTAATTCAAGGCTCATTTTCATATAAAAGCAAGAATATAAAGTCTTATATGAAGATGCATCTTTACACGAAGAAATTCTATTTATAATTCCATTAAAAAATATAATTCATATATTCGTATTATTTTCTCTCTTCCTCCGGTAAAATTATATTCATATATTTATGCTATTCAAGAATAATTTCCATGAGTTGAGAGAAAAAATATTGGATAGAAAGAATGTTATCTTTAAATTAATAACTAATATCGGTGAAGTTTTGTTTATTCTGTATTTAAGTAAAAAAAATTTAAATTTAAATAAATATATTATTAGAGTACCTTTCGGAAAGATATTTTTTATTTTTGAAATATTTTCTCTCAGTATGGCAGGAAAACTCACAGCTAGATTTTCCCCACGGAAAATCAGGAGATACGAGGGCAAAATCGCGACTACGGATTGCGTAACGTTCGTGATACCGTTTGCAGTATTCTTACTCTCTTATAAGTTCATCAGTTTTGAAGATATCGATTCTCTTTTTATCTAATATTCTTTCCTCTCAATTCATAACAATTTTTGTTAATAACAAGAATATGATATTTTTAGTGGAATAATGTATAGAATTTCTTCGTGTATAAGAGTAAGTTTTATCTTCACATAAAACTGTCATATATTCTTGCTTACATATGTGTTAGAATGTGAGTCTTGATACTATTTTTCTTTCAGTGAAAAGAGGAAAATTATGGCTGGAATGCCATACGCGCCACGAGGTGGTCGACTTCGAAAGTCGTTTCGCGAACGGGCGTGTTCCACGTGTCGATTCACTTTGACTCTAGCGACTGTCCGGAGTTGTCGCCGGCTGTCGGGGCCACTTACGCAATAAAATCGCACCGGCCTGATCATCCGAAGTCTCTTCTATTTCCGATTGCATTCTTCAGCACCCTTTGCTCAATCGCATCCGGTCTCCGCGAAAGAGTAGCAAAGATGTGTTTATTCTTCCTACGGGTTGACTTGTAAAGACAGGAGAATTAAAGACGAAAAATGATGATGATGACGACGATGAGCTTTAATGACTTACGATGTATAGATGCAGAATTTATATGTACATAAAACACAAAAATATAGATGTGTACGTAGGTGTACAGTGCGTGTGATACTCTATCGTAAGCGTCGATAAGGCTGTGACTTTGTAACGGATGCGAGTATCATGAATAAAATGGTTTTATTGACGACCCCCGTGTTCCCATGACCCCTGTCATCACTGTTTCATTGATCGTGCAACATGTGTACTAGCGCACGCATACGAACATATGCACATGTACGCACACGTAACGCGCGCGCGCGCGCGCGCACATACACACATATGCGTACATACATCGGTTGGGAAAGTATTATAATATAACCGGTCGTAAGATATACGCGCGAGTCCTTCGTTTGAATTGGTAATGGTATCGATTTGCGCGCGATTTTCTCGTTACGGCGTGCAGACGACCGCGGGTCATTCCGGCGCAACCTGTATTCACGGGATCGTGCAATTGAGGGTTGGAATACGGCCAATACTATAGTTGGCTGTCTGTAATTCTACGTCGTTTCCTCGATAGCGTTCTAATGACTGAGCCGTGCAGGGGCCGTGCGAAGTCCGTGTCTACAACGATGGTTTGTTCGTTGGTACGGATAACTTAATAATGATTCTCGCGAGTTTGCCCGACAATTCGTGTGCTGCCTCAGGATAGCCCCTGATGCCGATTAATACAGGATTAATTGCCGCATCGATTTCGGACTGGCGGAAACCTTGTGCAATTTGAAGCGGCACTTTGAAGGATTCGCCTTCGCTAATCTTGGGATTTTCCAAAGGTGGGGAAATCCAGCTGTGAATCTTCCCGTTACACCGAAAGAAAAAAATATCTAGCAAATAAAAAATATTTTTTTAGCGGGTACTCATAACGTGTTCACTTAAATCTCAATACTTTTATTTAAATAGAACAAATAATTGTTTTTGTGTAAAACTACACCGTCGAGAGAAAAATCTTTAGTATTTATAACTGTAATCATTATAGTAAAAGAATGATAATCGACCATTTTTTAAAATAACTGTTACAGTATCAGTGATAATAACCTTACACATGGTTATTACTATTTTTGTGGTTAACACAATAAATGATTCTATAAATATTCTATAAGTGTAATTCTATAGTTCTCCACTTAATAGTGGAATTCCCCACTTAATAGTGGATATATTAAAACAAATCATAAAATACTATTTTCTCCTTCATAAATATCAAAAATATCCAAGATATATTTCTAAGTGTATAATTTCTTTCTCGGTGCAAAAATTTAAGAAAATATATATATCTTCTCACTTGAAAAGAATATTTTCCCAATGTAAAAATATACACATCGATTGAAAATAATTATATTATTTGTATTCAAATAAATATTTTCCAGCCATTTTTTCTCTCGATGTAGGAGCTACGAGTCTCCGCCAGGAAAATCCAGCCGAGAGTTTTCGTGTGCCGAGCGACGTCTCTTGATTACGCGTTAATTACGACGATACGATCGCGCGCAGCTATTCACGCGAGAAAGAATCCAATCCGAATGCAATTTAATCCGCTGAGTGAACCATTTGCTTCGGCTCGCGAACGTCTCGCCACGAGCTCATCAATCACGCTTCCTTCTCTGAGATATCAGGGGAGGATATCAACGATATCAACTTCGGCGATATGACCGCCGGGCTCGAGCGGGGCTTGAGCGTCCGCCGTCAATTCGCGGCGAGCGGTGTCGAGTTTTGACGGCGGAGGTCGCGAGGTGAATGGCGTTACGTAGGCGCAAGCCTCGCAATTAGGCGTGCGTACGACTCGAAAAGAAAATCGTGCATAACGAGCACGCACGGACAATGAGCCGCACGTGGCCACGCAATATTGGTAATAATTAGGTTTCGCCGATGTGCCGTGCGTCGGTGAGTGAGCGTACGCGCGCGAGCGAAAATAGCCGCGACTAATCGCTCGCAATTCGTTAAGAGAGAACAAGAAAAGAGAGAGAGAGAGAGGGAGGGAAGAAGGGAAGAAAAAAGACGTTACGCGAACTGTGTCGCGGTAAACTAACGACTCGCGAAACTGGTTTGCGGATATAATGCGAGCGGGTAGGGGTCGTAAATCCCCTTTGTTCTACGCGACCGGGAATATTCCGCGTTTGGCGGAGGGAGTTTTGCATGAGAAAGAGGGGAAAAAAGCGCGGCGTGAGCGTGCATACGCCTCCCCGAATGTGTAAATTCGCGTGCGACTCTCCCGTCTCTTCGCAAATTTGTGTCGGTTTTTGCGAGGCAAGGGTGCGTAAAACGCACAAAAGCCCGCTCGTTTACGCGCGTGATGCAAAAGTACGCGAGCGTTACGAGAGAGTGGCGGGTCGCTCTCATATCGTCGCAACCGCGACCCAGAATCGCGCAAACATGGGGGAGAGAGAGAGAGAGCGAATTTGCGAATTCATCATCGACGCGGACCCGCGTTTCCGGTTCCGTACTCGACGTCAGTCGATCTGATAAGAACTTAGAGCGCCTTTATCCGAGACGTGATGTATTTCTTTCTTTTTACTTTCTCTCTCTTTCTCTTTCTGTCTCTCTCTCCTTCATCCCACGCGATTATTATTCGCGTGAATTGCCATCAGTTTTGCGATTCTCAGGAATGCGTTATCGACCAGCTTTCCCAGGAGGAGAATGAAGAGGGGAAAGGAATTACATACGACATACGTATTCTATTTGTATCCTCGTGTTATCGTTTTATTACAAAATCGTATTGCAAAAATACTCAAGCCTCTCTCACACGTATACATCGAAATGCGTAATGGCATGTTCCGAATGCGTTTCCCCGACGGCCGTTTCCCTCCTTCTCGCTCCTTTTATCCCCGTCCGCGCGAGTCGGACTTTGCGCGTTCGCGCAATCGCTTATCGCTCGATAAGCGCGAGCGGGAGAAACGGAATCCATAAGCGGAGATTACGAAGTTACCCGATAACATTACGTACACGTCTTGTTATTTACACGTGCGTGTTATGTACAGTTCGTGTGTGTGTGTGTGTATATACAAAGTCCGGCTGCCAGTATCAATAAATTACTATTATCCTAATTAGGTACTTGCATGACTATCAACTGTCTCACTCGTTGAAAATACATCGATATACAGTTTTGGTCGCTCGAAATTCCTGAGATACGTTGAAATACGCGGTCGAAATATTGTACAAAATACGCGTCGTATGTACATGAGAGACGCGTTCGCTGCTCACGTTGAGGGCCACCGCGTGTCGCGGGTCGCATGTGTATTCGTGTTTCTAACTTCTAACAAATTTCCCTAACATTGCAATCGACGGAGACTCTCGAGAGAGGTAACGTACGAGACCGATCAACGTGAGCGAGAACACGTGTATGTCGAAAAGAGCGCAGCGACTAAATTTGATTAAATACCAACGCCACATGCCGGCGCGATCGACGTAAAAGCGGTACTGACGCAGACTCTCCTCTTTTCTACGTGGAATAAAAATTATTGCCGATTGTTCACTGAAGAGATAACAGGTCGAAAATCTGTCTTCGTCGCGGAGCGATATTTTCCTTTTCTACAACTGAAACTACGCTCCGTTATACATAGAAAAATACGTACTACATTCAAGTAAATATTACTTGGTTCAAGTATATTTCCCATAAGTTTATACATCCGCAGATATATCGTAAGTTCAACCACAAGTATCGAATTTATTCGGAATATATTCTGAATCCCGGTAAGTTTGATACTTCAATCAAGAATATTGAATCAAAACAAACTTCGATTTGTGCTTATTCAAATTTTCGATAAGGTTCCTAAATCATTTACAAGGGAATTTTTCTTTGAGCAAATGATAACGAGCTTTTCTAAAATGTGTGATGACTATATTTTAGAACTACTATCAAGAAAATATTCTTTATTAAAGGTAACCATTACTTAAAAGAAAAAAAAGTAAACTAAGTAATCGCTTTTCTTAGCAGTAAAATGATATTTTTCTTTGTGTACGTGTAAAAAAGAAAGCGGGTTGTTCACATATCCATAATTATCCACGAGAGGGGGAATGAATCGAATTTTCTCGAGGAGAAATTTTTCGTCTCTCGTTATTAGTCGAAAAGTTTCATCGAGTTATACCGCTCTTGCGCCGATCGACTCGACGACGTCTGTTCGGTTGCGCGTCAACAGTTACGAGATCAGTACGCCAGTTCCGTGCCCCAGGGTCGGTAGGGCTTCCCATGCTGCTGCTGGGGATATTGACCCGGGTACTGGCTCCAGCCGATGGTGCTGCTGCTCAGAAGGTGTTGCATGCTGCCCGGACCGGGTGGCATCCCGCTAGAGACTGTGCTGGGCGGCTCGTAGCCGCTGGCAGTGGACGACGACGTTAACGTCGTGGTCGGCGGCACCGCCGACGGAACGGCGCCTGACGGCGGATGCTCGCGGTGGAAGCTCTGCAGGTGCGACAGCAGCCGCAGCCGGAGGGGATCCCTCTCGTCCAGGCCCTCCATGGTCACCAGGTAACGGCCCACCTCGGCTGCGCACTCGCCCCAACCTACCGCGTGATAGTCCATCGCGAGCTTCGTGCTGTCGTATCCTTCCGGTCCTGTGTGAGTATGATTTAATTAAATTATTATGAATTGCAGTCCTTGTTAGCCCTTTCCGTACAAGCCGTTCTTGACATTAGCGGCATGTAGATTTATATCGGTCAAAAAACTTATGTTGTCGCTGATAAGCGTTACGAAAGCCTCCAAGAACTCGTAAGTAAACATTTCGAATTATACGCGGTATAGTATTATATATAGTATTGTTATTGTCACATTGTTAAATATTGTTGTTATTGTCACATTGTAAAATATTGTGATTCCAACGTGAGACAGTGTGTAGAAATAAAGCCGATAAGGTGATATATGTGATACGTTATCTTGAAAGAACTTGGCGCGACATAGTGGGCGTAGCTTCAAGACAGGGATCGGGACTCTTAGGAGAAACGTGCAATATCTTTGACAACAGTACCAGGATAATATGTGATCGAACCCTCCTCCGATTCTTCGCGATAAACTGCGCGAAATGAAATTTCCATGACTCCGGAGGCAACGGCAGGAGCGCATAATTATCGATACTGACCCGTTCAACGTTCTCAATCGCTCGGCATATTTTTATCCACGACGCTTCTTAGTATCTCAGAGAGATCATTTCTCGTCGAAACATCGCGTTCAGCAAACAACGCGCGCGTTTCCGGGCTTTTCCGTGAGAGCCTCCCGAATCTCCTCGGGCGATTCGTGGATCGACAGCGAAGTGCATCTGCGGACGGCGGTCCTTTGTGCAGTTTTAGTTTCGCGGCACAACAATGGCTGGCATACGTGCACCGAGGCGAGATGGGCGCCTTGGCTTTAGCAGCAGGCAGCTCATTGTATACACGCGGAATGGGACAGGTAGCGTGGGAATCGTTTAGACCCCCATAGACCGGGCCTCATGCGAGACGCACACGCACCGCGAGCGCGGAGTGTTCCATGTTATTATGCAAGGTTCTCAGCGCTGCGCAAACATCACGTCAAATTATGCGCGATCGATCATCGGTCCAAGTATCGACAAGGTATCGAGTATCGTGAAATCTCGGAACTTTCTCTCGCACGAAGGGAGACCACGAGGTTCCGGACTTTAATTACCTGTCATTCAGTTATCTTTCTTAGTTGAGATTCGATGAAACCCGCGGATATTCTTCACATAAAAACTATGAATGAAGAGAAAAATTTCGCGAAATGTCGATTGATGAGCGTGAACGGAAGACGAAGTTATCGCGATATTTCTCAAGCGCGTCACGTCGATCTCGGAAAAACGCCGCTGATCGTCGGCCGCTCGCGCAAATGTCATACTCGAGGAGATTCGATCTTGCGTTTTATTTGGCGATATTAAATTTAATATCGCTCACTTTCAGAGCGCGCCCCTCGCCCCGGGCCGAGCACGCATTTACAAACAAGGCGACGGCCTGCACACAATCGCGGACGCGTAGTATAGTGCCCGTGCGTGTCCGTGCACTCTTGTGTTAGCTGGTTTCCCACAGGGTTCGACATCTGCCCTAGGCCGATCTGAGCGCCTCCCTCGCGAGGGGTGCCGCGCGGGACACCTCACCCCCGGGCCCGCCACCAATCGTGGGAACACCACTTTCAGAGAGTCGTTGACTTCCTGTGCTTCCCACAGGATCTCCGCGCCCGATTCAGCACCTGCTCCGAGGATCCCGTTTTAGTTTCGGGCTCCTCGTCTCGCGGACTTCACGGCCAACATGCCGCCGTCTTCGTGCGATTTTCCACGAGACTCTTTTTCCCCGTCCTCTCCGTGATATTTATTTCCACGGTGAATATTTCGGGGAAATTCGATCGTGCGATAATAACGAAATCAGCATCACTTTCGTAGCGTGACGTAATTCTTTTGACATCAACTAAGTAACAAATATCAACCCGAGGGGTGAAAAATTTCTCATATATAATTGTATATAGAATATGTCTATATATATATATATATATATATATATAAAGATATAATTATTGTATGATATATTATTACAAACAGGATATTATTTGGGAAGTCATTCTGAGCAAAAAATGTTGTGTAAACAATGGGTCAATTTAACTTCGTTATCGAGAGAGAGTTCCGTTATGGAAAATGTATTGATATAAACGAGAAATAATCCCTTTTAGATTTTTTTATGAGATTGCATAAAATCGTATGTATCTCGTATAATCGAATGTATTTAAATGGAAAGTCTGATATATGTGAGTAGTTGATAATAATCAATCAATGAAGCTACTGTTAGTATTAGCAATGATCTTGCCGATATTACGTGAATGCGGTCAATGGAAGCACGTCTATTTGCATAGAGGCACGAGATGCTCATTTTGAATAATACGTGTAAATATTAGTACAATATGTCAGTGTTAAATTCTTTAACAATTAATCTTTCAGTAACTATAAATATATGGCTAATTTCAGACGTTATTATTATTTTATTGTTAGAAAAATTACTAATTTGTGGCTTCTGAAGTTAACCATACACTCAGTTACTGAAAGGCTCAAGTAATCGGAATTAACAGTATTACACTGTACCGATTGCGATGGTATCGTTTACGAGCCTACGTTGGTAATCGTTCTCAAATCTGCTTAATAAGCAGAGACGCCAGATGGGTATTCGGTTAGGTAGTTACAGTTACCGCTGTTGGTCGGCTTTTACGGTCAACAGGTGTCTTCCGGTAAAAGGAAAAAAAAAGAGTGGAAGAAGGATCCGACAGAATGCCGACTATAGCAGAGATACGTAATAACGGCGTAAAAGTGAAATTGATGCGAGTGTGGCACAGCTCTTCGCTCTCGAGCTCGTTATTAAAACGCCGTTCTGAGAAATCTCGAGCAAAAAAAAAATCTCATTGATTCCAAAGGATCGTCCTCGAGTTTCGTCGCGCGCTCGGAACGGGAAGAGGCAGATCCTTCCGGAATCGCGGCTTTTGTTGCTCGACACCGTTACATCCTTCTCCCGATGTAATCTGCGCACCTGTTACGAAACCGATCACGAAAAAACTCGGATTTTGCCAGTTAACATTGTAAGCTGATTCTGAGTTAACAAACGACGAATATACAATTTACTAAATTAATTGCAATATGTGTGGATAATAACAGTCATTTGTGTTAGGTAGCATATCACACTTAAAAATTTATCATTTTTAATTAAAATATCAGAAATAAATATTATAATTTTTCAAAACAATTTATGTAAAAAATATTTTATTTTATTTTAATGTTATAATATTTCTAAGTCATAATATTAAATATAAATTGAATGACTCGGGTTTTCTATGTTTGCGTTAAAAAAAAAAATAGCCAAAGCAGAAATTAGAGAATTTCGACAGTTTCCGGTCAATAATGTGTTAGTATACCAAAACGAGCAGTTTCCTTCGCGATCCTTCCATGCCAGGATACGTAGAGATCGCCGACATGAGAATTCACGGAAACGCGGAAAAATCGCGAAGAAGAATCACAGATTCCGGATTTGTACGAAGAGCTCGTAGGAGGGAAGGAAAGAGAACGAAGAGGAAGGGATGTGCGAAACTCACCTTTGTTGCGGAGAGTCCGTAAATGTTCGACGGTGAGCTGCAGGATCTCCGCTTTCTCGAGCTTTCCGCTGTGAGGGTCTCGCGCGGCCGCAGGCACCAATCGCCGCAGCTCGCCGAGGGACGCGTTGATTCTGTCGCGGCGCTTCTTCTCGATCATCCCCCTCCTGCGTTTTCGTGAGGCGTGCTGACAGGAGTCTCCTCCGGGTGAATTACATCTGCAACAACGAGACCAACGAGGTTAGTTCCGCGACAGACAGAACATTTAGTCGCGCACGCACGCCAAGACTCTCCGCGAAAGGAAAAAAGAAAGAAAGAGAGAGGGTCGAGAGTTTTAATTACGTATTGTTAATGAGAAGACCTCGTGGAGCGCGCGCTTGCACGATAAATCCCGCTCGTTAATTTTCGGCGTACGGGCTAAAACAATGCTGCGACTAATTGCGACCTTGTCGCGGCACATATGTCGCGTCGACATAGACGACATAGTTCGTTTTAACGTCCGTCGAGATGGAACGGCGACTTCGTCGCGACTAGAATTCTAGATGTAAATAGAGAAGCGATATTGAATTCGATACATCGAAAATCGGCATCTTTCTCTCTATGGTGCTGGACAGGCTGATGTTCATAAGGTGCGGACCAACAAACGCTAGAAATGCTTCGAAATGTTGCTCTTTCTTTTTCTCCTTTTATTCGGATTCAAAAGTTAGATGAAGAAAAAGAAACGCTTCGAAATATTTGTAGCGCTCTCAGTCCGCGCTCAGTCGGGTCTTATACTTAAGATCTTAAATCCATCTTCAAGTACTGTGCGGATCCTTTCATTGACTATAATGCATTTGAAAATAAACTTAGGACGGTCTAAAATATAAAATCTGAATACTGGTCATAGAGAGTAGGCAAATAAGAAAGTGAGAGAAAGGAGATGGGTAAGAAAGAAAGATTAGATCACGAGAGGTTAATTTCAATAATTAATCTAAGTAAGAATATTTCCCCCATATAATCTGTAGCTACTTATTATAACTCGGCACATCAAAAAAGGATTTTTTGAGTCATAATAAATATTAAAATTAGTCATATTAAAATTATAACAAAGATAGCATAATTTTTTACCGCTACATCTTATGCTCTTAGTCGTAGGTGCTAAGACTAAAAAAAAAATGGCGCTCGGTCATATGATTCAGGAAGCCAATCAAATCGACCTTGTTCAATGTCGCTTCTCTATTTATATCTAAGAGTCTACACAGAAAAAAATATCATTTTGTTACGTCCTGGATATCTCGGAAACTACGAATTCTTTTTTTTTTTATATGATTGGGAAGCAGACGGACTTCGGGCGAGCGCTATTGTAAAAAAGATAAGATTACGATGGTTTGCCGCCAAACGCGCCATATATTTCCCAACGCGTCCGTCACCCTATCCGCATTCCTTTTTTTTTTATGATCGTGAAACAAGCAAACTTGGGCAAGCTTTGTTGTAAAATGATACAACCACATGTCGCCCGAATGCGTCACGGGCCTCCCAATGCGTCTGCGACCTTATCCGCCTTTGTATACAGTCGTTAGAACAAAGGCCCTTCGATTAGGTTCTTAAGATTATTTATATCAACCAGATGATACTAGGAATTTTTTAGAGTAACCGTCTTCCACGCAACCTCCTCTCATTGGCGATCGTCATCCACCACCCCCTGAAACCTCCCCTATATAAGCCTCACTCTTTTGCCGCGAGCCCAGTTCACAGTTCTCAGTCTCAGTCTCAGCCTTCATCTTTATTCGTTCTTCTTCTCGTTCTCAGTTTTTAGTCCAGTCCATAGTCTGTTTTTAGTCTCGACATCTTCTTTTGTAGTCTTCATATTCCGGGATCCCATAAATCTGGTACACCATGATCAACGAACCCATGTTCTACGTAGTATTCATCACAGTTGATTCATCTAAATCGTAAGTCTCGGTTTCATATTTAAACATGACTTTTAATCATTTCAATCCAATCTCCAATCCCACTTTACTCCCCAAACCACACACATACACTGCGTGATTATTATCTTCTTTGTATTATATAACGATGTTTTCCTCGCTATACCGATACGTTAAACATTCTTGTTACGTTATATCCGATTGTATTAAATTAAGTTACACGAATTACCTTTTTCTTAATCTCACTTTAATCTTCATCTTGTATTTGCGTTATTGCAATAATGCTGATTTATAAAAGTTTGTTTAATATTAACCCACATATTGTTTAACTTTAGCTAACCCTTTCAACTTTTAAATGTTGTATCTTTTACAATAACTTTTCTCATCAATTTACCACTATTATTAATCCATCCGAGAACCAAATTATGTTATTAATAAACCGTTTTATTCAAAATGCCCTAAATTTAATCAAGTCGTTAAAACTATTTATTCATTTCCTTTCAATCACTCAAATCTAAATTCCCCTCTCAACACGCTCATATGGTCCTATCCCAGGTAAAGAGATTAAGTTCTTTGACCTAAATAAAGGACCACCTAACGTACGTTCTGTGATCGGAGTAAATGGGCCTCTCCGGACCTTGACCTGATCTGCAGACCTACCAGTACGTTTAGGACTCGCGAGTGCGCGAGTAAGCGATTTTGTTGCGTTCATCCTCTTCCAGGACGTAACAATTCTATTGCTAAGGAAAGCGATTACTCAGTTTACTTTCCTTCTTTTAAGTAACAATTATCTTCAGCAAAAAATATTTCCTTGATAAAATAGTTTCAAATATACTTAGGAACTTCAGGAAACCTCAATATCACGTATTTAAAAGAAGAATTTATTTTCTTTCCAAGAATATTATAAATTTTATCGAAGAAGAAGAAAAGTTAAATTCGATTAACTTGAATAAGCACGCACACATACATACACACAAGCGGAAGTTTATTTTAATTTAACCCTTTCGCTTCGAGCGCCGCTTATAAGCGGCGCGCACAGTATGTCCTGTGGGTACGAGTGCCGCTTATAAGCGGCGCGCATAATATGTCTTGTGCGTACGAGCGCCGCTTATAAGCGGCGGCCGCGCGATGTGTCGTCTGCAGTAAGAATGACAAAAGATCCGACTCACGATACGAGTGTAAAGAGTGTGATGTTGGTTTATGCGTAGATCCGTGCTTCAGAATTTATCATACTAACTTATACTACTAATCACTTTATATTAATATATTAACTTGTTTGCGGACAATAATTAATTAAAATTTAAATCTTACTAGTAACTTTTAAGTTGTAAATATTTTCATACCAAAAATGTAAATAATAATCATTATATAGTAACAAAGATTGTTTTATTTAGCAAAATTGTTACTTAAGACCTAGGAAAACGTATATAAAGCAACAACGCATATTGTGCGTATTCGCGGCGCGCGCGCCCGTACAGAGACAGTACTTCGGCGGACTGGACGTCCGAAGCGAAAGGGTTAATATTCTTGATTGAACTATTAAACTTAATTAGGATTCAGAATATATTTTTGAATAAATTTGAAGCTTATGACGAACTTATGATATATTTGCGAACATATAAACTTATGAAATACTTGAAACAAATAACATTTACTTGAACGCAATATGTATTTTTCTGCATGTAGTCGCGACGAGTTTTCCCGGCGCGCTGATTTCGAAGGATGACGGGAAGAATTTCGGACGGAGATTCGAGCGTAAATATACATACGGTTCCTTGCCGCTCTCCTCCGAGAACACGTCGTCGCAGTCGGAATCGCTCATGGCCCTCTTAAGGCTTCTCTGGTGGCCCTGGTATTGCTGGGACTGCTTCTGGTGCTGCTGCGACTGTTGCGGTTGTTGCTGCGACTGTTGCGGTTGGTGCTGTGACTGCTGCCGCTGCCGTTGTTGCTGCGGCTGCTGCTGACCGTTCTCCGGAGCCCTCAGCTCGGTGTCGATCTTCAGCTCCAAGTACTCGTGATTCGGCCGCATCTCCGGCATGTCCGTCCTCATCCCTGGTATGTCCTGGTGTTTGGCCACGTCGGGCCGATCATGGATATCCTGGTGCCTCTGCATCTCCGGATGCCGCAGCTCTTGGCTCCTGAGCTCGCCGGTGGCGTGCCGCAGCTCGTGGGACGCCGGCGGGCGCATGTCGTGCGGGTGGTGGTGATGGTGATGGTGACGCATGTCCGGGTGCTGCGCCGGCTGATAAGGAGGATGATGAGGCGGCGGCGGATAACCCCAATGGTGACCCGACGGCGGCGCCGGCAAGGTCGACAGGTGACCCGGGGCGCCGGAAGTGATCTCGGAGGACAACAGAGTGCTGTTGTCGTCGGAACGCGCGACCACCACTCGCCACATGTTGCTCGTCGCGGCGACCGAACGGACGGACGAACCGACGTTCGGTACGTACGTATGGACGGACGGAAGGAGGGATCGTTTGACGCTGCTCGGAGGGACGATAGCTCGAGATCGCGCTACCGACTGCCAATTATCGATCCCATAACGATGCACAGGCGAGATGTCATTGCAGCCGCATTGCGGTAACCGTCCCGCTCGCGCGATCGTTAGCGCTCTTCGATAAGCATCGACGCCGACTGTTGACCCATGCGGCGGGGGAGGACACACAACGTCGTGATCGCAACGTTGAAACGTGCGCGCGCGCGAATCGAACGAAACTGGCTGCGAGCCTACACCGCCGATCGAGAGTCACGCACTTGCACCGAGTGTTTGAAACTGCCGGTATATGACTTCGGTCGAGCGACCGCGTCTCACTAAGATCTCCGGGGGATTACCGAAGTCTCGAAGACGATCGGCAGTTTCGTTGTGAACGCGCGACAGGGTGGATAAAAAATCGCCCGATTTCCACGCATCGTGCACGACGGGAATGATCGCGTTCCTGGAGATCCTTCGACTGGCCGATATCACCGAGCGCGCGAAGGAACGACGATCCGTTATCGGTCTCTGGCGGGTCGCGTGGCCGGAGAGGCCCTGCACGGAGGGTCAAAACGCGAAAGCGGCGTCGCGACGGCCGCGAAAGGAGCAATCGGACGTGCACTTGTTCCGCGACGGCGGTGGGAGGTTTATCGGCGCTCACGTGCCGCGGCTTCCCGACGTCGTTCGCGGTCGCGTGTCGTGCTCGTGGAAGAAGAAGCTGCGCACTCTCGCTCTCGTTGTTGCCGCTGCTTGTTCGCCGCTGCGTCGAGATGCCGCTTGCAGGATGTGCGTGTGCACTGGTCGCGTGGCGGCCGACGTATGTCGTGTGCGGGAGGACGCAGGGACGACACACGACCGCGTGGCGGCCGTCCACGTCGCCGTCGGCGAGTGGGGATGATCGGAGGTGCGCGCCCTTCGGGATGGAGGGGGGAGGCCCGGTGAGAGATGGGAGAAAGCGAAAGAATGAAAGAAAGAGAGAAAGAGAGGGGTGGATGGGGCGAGAGGCAGACAGAGAGGGTTGCTGTCTGCCGAAGGGGGAACGAAAATCAGGAGGGGCGACTTTCGTGGGAACGTTCCGCGGTAACTCGTGTGCGTGCGTGCGTGCGTGCGCGCTGACGAGTGTGGACCCTTGATTGTGCGACCGCGGCTCCTGCTACACTCGGTCAAGGAGAAACCTTGGACGAGGAAGCGATCTTCTCGACGCTCCGATCGGGCGGATGTGCGAGGAGAAAGGAGGCGGCCGGAAACTGCCCGCAGGCTGCTGTTGCGCTGCTCTCTCTCGAAAGAGAGAGAGAGAGAACGAAAGAACGCATCTCGGCTACCGCATCTTCGTCGATTTTCTCCCGCGTTTCGTCCATTCCGGATCTGCCATATCTCGTGTTTGGAAGTCGAAATTCACACCTCTCTCTCCTCGCTTTTACCTTGCGCGTCGAGGTAGGTAACAAAGTCGGTTGATTCGATAAGACAATCATCGGCCTGAGTTGGACTCAGCCGTCTGAGCGATACGCACGCACGCCACCATGAAATCACTCTGCTGCCACCCTCCCCGCGAGAGAGCCACCCTTAAGTAGCATTCGCACACTCGCCGAGACGTCTACGCGTATCGGGAGTGCGGAAGGGCGGTCGTGCGGGGCCACGAGGGGGGGG